ACATGTCTGCAGGACGCCATCCTCATGTATCTGAAAGTTTCCATGAATCAGCCAAAGATCCCACGCCCAGAGGCAATCATTTTCAACGCTGTTTCTCTCCAAGCTATGTCCTCTTTAGTCGGTCTCTGCTGACTTGCCAGAGTGCAGGTGTGTGTGTGTGTGCACGTGTGTGTGTGTGTGTGTGTGTGTGTGTGTGTGTGTGTGTGTGTGTGTGTGTGTGTGTGTGTGTGTGTGTGTGTGTGTGTGTGTGTGGGTGCGTGCGGTGCGGTGCGGAGCAGTGCAGTGCTGTGCGGTGTGGTATGGTGTCTCGTGTAGTGTAGCGTAGCGTAGCGTAGTGTAGTGTAGTGTAGTAGTGCGAGTTTTGTGTGTGTGTGTGTGTATGTGTGTGTGTGTGTGCGCGTGTGTGTGTGTGTGTGTGTTTGTGCGTGTACAGTAAGCAACATGAGGTACATTCTGGCCCTTCTTTTCGCTATCGAACTCGCCATGCGACTCTGCGCGTATGGCTGCCGAGAGTTTTTCTGCGGAGAAGACTGGCTTTGGTCGTTGTTGGATGCGTTCATTGTACTCAGCTCAATCTGGGACATTGTATTGGACGTTCTGTTCCTCTGGGACGCCTCTGACAATCCAGTTTCCACCCTAAGAGCTATACGGATCCTGCGACTGGCCCGAATCGTGAAAGCTGTCCGATTGATGCGCGTGTTCCGCTTTGTCCGGGCGCTCCGGACACTGATCAGCTCCATCTTTCATACACTGAAATCCTTGTTTTGGGCACTGGTGCTGATGGTTCTGATCCTGTACGTCTTCGGTGCCTCGGCCACCATAAGAGACCTGAGAGAGAAGCATCCCCAAACCTAAGAAGTCCAGTTTTGTAATTTTTTTGAAGGCCCTGAAGGCCAAGTTGTTATTCCAGGTACTAGTGCACTCGGAAATCACACGCCTCCTGCAGTGGAGCTTCCAAGCCCTTGACGGCCCCAAAGTGCTTGGTGCTCGGCTCAGGTGTGCTCTTCTTCCAAGCTGTAAACAGCTACCTTTTGGACCCAGACAACCCGCCTCTGCCAGACTCGGCTTTCGAGGTGGGACCTTTTGTGTACATAAGTTGTGCAAAAACCCTCAAGGTCTGGCCTGGGCGCCTGTTCATTGATGGACTGTGAGGGGTTTTCCAGCAACTTGCAGCAACTTGCAGCAACTTGCAGGCGGCTTCAAAACACTACTATTCTCTGGCGGGTACAATGATGAGTCTTTTCATGTGCATCTCCGGCGGAACGAACTGGGAGAATGTCCTCGCACCCTTGATTCTTGATATGCAGCACTCGCGCATCAAGTCATAGTCATGTGGCGGGAGCCATGTGTGAACGTTGGTGTGTGAGCAGTCCCCAAGCTGGTTCTCGAGGATTTCGATCTCGGAGTTTTGGATATTGCTCTTCCTGTTTTATGCAGCTTGGCTGCATGCTGTCACGCGAATAGCAGCACATCACCTTTATCTTCATTGGCTACGAAGCTATCTCTCCGCCGCTGTCTGCAAGACCTTCAGTTGCCAAGGTGGCTTTTACATACCTTGCGGTGCTCAATGTGCTGCTCTCAGCTTCAGCTGACCTGGGTTCATTGCTTGGGCTTGAAGGGAAGCTAGTGAGGGCATTGAACTGCCAGTATAGTTGCCTCTCGGGCCCCATTGCCTGCAGTTTGTTCAAGCCCAAGAAAGAGGCATTATTTTCGATCGGTGCCGCTTCTCGCATAAGTTGGTGATGATGCCTATGAATTATAGTCGAGCCAGTTCCTGCCTTGAGACCCGTCTACGACTCTTCAGTACTGAGGTAGCTCGCTTGCTGCTGCCAAAATTGTTTGAGATTAGCTATGATCGTGGCTGACATGTGCATTCTCCAGCGAGTCGGGAAGGCTCACTGCATATTTGTTATTGGGCTAACCACTGCCAGCTTTTATGGCTCTCGCGGTTGCTGTTGGACCCTACTTCCCCGGCCTGAGTATCTGCCCGACACACCATCAGCTTCAAACCCCTGCCGTTTCCGAGAACTTTTGGTACTTTCCGAGGTTTTGACTGCGGTCTTCTGCCAGTTCATGCCTCAACTGCCAGTTTCGCGGTGGTATTTGGGGGTGGGGCTGTATTTGGCAATTTGAGTCAGGTCTGCAATCGAATCGGCCCAAAGCGACCAAGCATCGTTGGTCCAACACATATTGGAAGAAAAAGAGGTCGGGATTACCCAGATGCAGTTGGTGTGTTGGCCAGCGGGACGAACACTTCAGCGGGTGTTGCTGCGCAAGCTTCGAGGGACGTGTGCAAACTTCAGCGCTTCCTGCTGTCATGGAGACTTTACTTTCTTGTCAGGCGCACCGCGAGAAGCTCCTGGATCTTTTTGAGCAAGTTGGAGAGGAAGACGGAACAATAACATTCGAAGTGCTGCTGGGTTGGCATTTGGCAAAGAGATTGTGTTGTCCCGAAGTAATCCGAGCACCTGTTTAATTAATAGCCCCACATTTAAAGAAATTTATTTCGCCGAGAAGCCCGCCGGAAGACTACTTTCCATTACGGGGGATTTCGTATGGGGAGGTTCAACAAAGTTCTCGGGCTCCTTTTTTTGGCTTAAGAGTAAAGGCTTTAAAGAAGCCGAAGCTTTCTTTTTCCAGAATCTGGCGCTCTTCAGAAAGCTAGAATTTCTTATGTGATTGCTTACTGGAGGAGAGAAGTTTTCATTCTTTCCTGAGCTACCCCTTGTGGGCTCTGCCCGGCAAAGGCAGCATCACATTTATGAAAACGGACCACAATTATCCTTGGGGGGGAGCCCCCGTCATGGATTCCTATTGTTTTTCATAGAGAGTCAATGCTTTGTTTGCAGTTTTCATAGAGATTCTATACATTCCTATTGTTTCAATACATTCTTATTGTTTTTAATAGAGACTCAATACAGGGCCATGGTCATACCATTGCGGAACCCTTTCTTTTTGTGGCGGGGGGGGGGGGGGGGGGCCCCAATTAAACAGGTGCTCGGATTACGAGGGAGAAGTGCTTGTTGAATCTGGTGTGTGTGACAGGTGCGTGGAACGAAATTTCTAATGTGTCTTTAGTGTCTGCATGTGGACAAGCACGGCGCTTCTCACCACTTCCGCACAGCTTGAGACTGGGTTGCGGTTTGCCGACTGCCAATCATCTATTCGGAAAGTTTGGAATTTAGGGATAAAAGTTGCCTGTAGGTGTGACTGCGAAGATGGACGGCCAAAATGCCGCAGACAGGTAACATCGGGAAAGAAACCATGTCGAGTTGTCGAGCATAGCATGTCGAGAAATGTCCTCGAGCTGAGGTTTCAGGAAAAGATCAATGAGCCTGCCGTTCGCGAGTATTTCACATCAATCGGCTTGGATGTATGGGACGCATGGAGTTTTTTCAAACTCCTCGACTTGGATGAAGGCTGAAGGGTTGAAGGGATGTGAAAGGGACAGCTGCATGGAGCTACACGGAAGAAGATATTCGGAGAGACGTGAAACATGGGGCGGTCAAATTGTGTGTTGGATTGATGCCACGACCCAAACTCGGTTCTTGGGTTTCTGTGAAAGCACCAGCAGCAGTGTGGTACCGGAAACCATATGATCATGCTTCTTGTCTGGGAATCAGGCCTGCTGAAGACAGCTGAAGTAGATAATGATTGCCCACGCAGGTTGCTGGCATTGTTCAAGATCCTCTCGTAGCTTGTTGTGTTGCAGGCGGTTCTGTCGAAGTGGACGAGTTTCTGATGGGTTGTTTGCGTCTTCGAGGACAAGCTCGGGCTGTTGATGCTTCTTGTCTGGAGGAAGGCAACAAAGCTATGCGTGTATGTTGCAAGCATGCTGACTCCGGTTGGTTTAAGCTCTCACACCTGGCAATGTTCCGTGCGAGCACCAAGGTTGGTAAGATCATCTATGACCAAACGTGGATGATCAGACGCTTGAAAAAACATGAAGCTACTGGCAGCACCAGAAATGCCGTGTAGTACTGTAGCAAAGTGCCCAGCTCTTTGTGCATGCCACTTCACAGCAGACAAGGAAACCAGAGCTATTTTCAGTCATACGTGGAGGTGCAGCTCAAGCAGGTGAGGCTTATCTTAACCGTACTGCTCATGTCAGCCCTAAATGACGGTCTGCGCATGATGCCTCGCAACATGTTCTACATGACAGAGAGCTTGGTTGCATGAAATCAATCCACTGTTCAAGCTCTGTATGCCTCTGTATGATCTTCATGTTGTAGATGCCAAGGAAAGACTTGCTGAGCCGACTCACGGGCGTTCGATTGCAGTCGGTTCATGTCCTTGGGACAGCGCACCCGTGAGACGTTCCTGTATTTGCCAATCCGTTTGCTTTCAGAAGACTCCAGTGCCAGCCTGTTTGTTGACATGGTAAAAGGGTTTGGCCCGACAGGCGAAGATTGTTACGGAAGCGAGGTTCAAGAACGGATTTCTACATCCGCATTATCCATTGACTAAAATGCAAGATAGTGCTAAGTTTGGCAGGCAGCCGCTTCTCGAAGTTTGTGCGGGGTTGAATTTGCGACATGAAGCACGGAATGCGCTACCTGCCGCTACCCATTTCCAAGATCGGGTCCTTTTCGTTATTGCGAACGTCCGTTTGTTGTTTGAGATCCATGCTGATTCACCCATCGGCGAAAGACCCGAGTACTTGTGCTTTAGTCTGTGCCAGACGGCATCTGAAAGGCACAATACAACACCAATTATTTGCACCTCAATTACACTTGAGGGCCGTAGAACACGACGCGGAAGCTTGCTCAAAGCACTTGGGCACGAAGTTGATCTGATCAAGTCAGATCGGCAGAGTCCACAGCGGCGAAGGCACAAAGGTGAGCCAGGGCAGGTGAATGTTGACGAGAGCGAGAACGATTGAGTGCTTAGGCAATGCTACGGACAGCTGAAAGTTGCGAGTGGGTGCTGCTCCGTCTGTAGCAGACGAGTACATCATTAGTCATAGAACCCACCGCTGCTTTGTTATCGCCTTCGTTCAGGAAGCCTTGGCCGATATGAAGAAGGTACTGGCAACCGGGCTGCATTTGTCTTGTTGGCAGGCGTGTTCATCCTACGCGCACTCTAGACACTCTAGATGCTGTGTGAGCACTCAAAGCAGCTCAGAGATTCCCCTCATATTCAAAATAGCTCAGAGATGCAGAGAAACTCATATTCTACGTGCTTCCAAGGTGCATGACACTGCCTTCCTGTGTTGCAGGAGTTTTAGGCGTGCCTCACTGAGCCAAGGGTCCCGCATGGTACAATTCTGTTCTGGGCCGGAATCCGGTGACAAAGGAGTCGGAGACAGGGCACCATTAGGGTTTAAGGTTTAAGTTTAGGGTTGAGGGCCGGGGATTCCTTCACAGCCGTGGAGTTTGCAGGAGCAATTGGTCATGCTTCCAGAGTCGATGCGAGAAGAGGCTTCCTTTCACTTGTGCTCAGAGGTCTCTTGCGGCATTTTGTCTGACGTGCACAAATCTCCGGGATGGGACTGTTTCAGGTGATGCACGCCTTGAACAACACAGCCGGATGCCCAGCATCGCGGGGTCCACGTGTACAGGATTGTGCTGCAGGATGCCCGGGGTCACCTGGTGACCTGAGGTGCTGCCGGCCCGTTTCCAGCAGCTTGAGAAGTTCCTCACCACTTCAGAGGGTCCTTACTTCTGCGGCGACAGGACATGAGCATCCAAGCCTCTCCAAGTCTCCAAGCTCATGTCAAATTCCAAAACATGACTGGTTGTGTTTTCTTGACCGGCAGGATGACTATCTGTGACCTGAGCGTGCATCTCGTTTGTGCTACTGCGACTTCTGGCTTCGGCTTTCTGTCTTTCATTTTGGGCACTAGCCCACGGCTTCAGAAACATGCCATAAGACGTGCATGTCCACAAGCACTAGTCGTGCCATTGCTTCGTGTGTTCAGGTATGTTTATGCGTCGGGACTCCTCGACGGAACTTACGTGACGGGCATTGATCCCAGCGTCATGGACAACTGCCCAGGCTCGAGTGCAACAAGCTGCAGAGGCAAATCTTTCGAAAAGCTCCGTTTCTGACAGGCTTGAAAGCTCTGGTTGAACGAGTGGGCAATCACCCCCGTGTGCCATCGCCACGTGATTGAGATAGACTAAGCTTGGACGGTCGCAGACTTAATCAGCATGAATGCCATTGATGCCTCCACAGACCCGGGCTCGAAGAACAAACTGCGTTCGTAAGCGTTGTGGTGACCATGGTGGGAGATCAGTCTGCGCTGGTGCAGCACAAGTTTGCCGTGACAGGACCTCGGGGTTCTGTGTTCTGTTAGCGTCACGGGCAATCACGTTCACCACTCATCGCAGCGGTACTTGTACCTGCTGCAAGCGCACGGTGCCTGTGGAGAAGCTGGCAGCCCCATACATGGCGCATGTCGGCTGAAGCCACGCTGCTAGAAGAGTCAAACATTGCTCGAACAGGTGTTTTGCTGCTTGGCGTCACAGTGCTGCTGGATGCCGCCCGCAGGCTTCGCTCCAGGAAAGGCGGAGGGCATTAGCATCAGTAGCAGGAGCTACTGTAGGCGATTGCAGGCGAAAGCCTGTCGACACGGTTGAGAACAGCAGTGAGCTCGCACCAAACGAGCAAAAACCTGGAGTACTCTAAAAGTGCTTTGCGGCAGACTCAAATAGTGTAATCTTTCATATCCTTCTTTCCTCCTCTTGAGCCGCCCGCCATTGACTGCGATTTGGCGAAAGATCGTGGCAGGAGAAAGCCTGGTGATTTGATCCCTTGCCTGCCAGGCCTGTTTGCCCGGTTTGCGGGCTTCAACAAGCATCCACCATGCAGCATCTGTCATGCAGTCGCCTAACCTCTAAGTCTCTCTCAGGGTATGGAATGGAGCTTTGCGCATGGTGTGCCAACTCATGAAAACAGGTAGGCGAACCCTCTCTTGTTGGTCATGCCATAGTACAATGGTCCATGGAGACCCATGTAAGTCGACACTTGTGCAGGTGGGTGGCCAATCGTGGGCCACTTCTTCACTCTCATGCGAAACTTGTCAAGTTGACGGTGCTTTTCTGCTCACCCTCGGTGGGGTTGTTCGACTTGAGCTCAGCAGAACTCAGCTATTCTCCTCACCCAGGTGTCTCGTACTCGCGGCTCCCTCCCACAAATAACCACCCCCCCAGAGAATCCCACATATCCTGCAGAGAACGTGTATGGATCATTCCGGACTGGCGATTAGAGCTAACATGCAGGGATACTGTGCGGGGATTGTCTGGGGACGAGCTCTCCAGGGATACTCTGCGGGATGTTTTTTTGTTTTTGTTTTTGTTTTTGTTTCTGTGGATTTTCTGAGGGATTGCCTGAGGGATTGTCTGAAGGATTTTCTGAGGGATGTTCTACGGGATTCTCTGAGGATTCTGTGCGATATTCCAATGGCTATGACATGCTATGACATGCTGTCGGGGTCGGATGATTCGAATACAACTCAACATCTCCAGGAGGTGCTGAAGCCCTCGTTCCGAGATTCGAGTTGGCTATGTCTGTCGAGTCGGAGGATTCGAATTCAACTCAACATCTCTAAAAATCATTGGAAAACCCGCAAAAGCCCTCTGATCTTTCCAAATTAAAATGTTTGAAAACCTTCAATCATCCCAATTTTTTCTTCGCACTGTGCTGCTGCTGATCACCATTGGTGCTTGGCACTGGCACATGTCTGCACACTGTTTTTGACAGAACCTTTAACCCTACCCCGGCGTGGACACGAGAGCTTCTAGAAACTCTCGTGTGCACCCTATAGCCCAAGATGGAGCCAAGATGGCTACCATCCTTAGAAGGTGTGTAAGCCCTCATTTCGGGAGTCGATTTGGCTAGGAGATTCTGTCGAATCGGATGATGCCAATGCGGTTCAACTTTTTTGTTGCTTTGTGAATGCGTGGGCCAGAGGGTGAAGCCCCAGTATGATAGGGAAACTTGGAGCACTTGCGACATTTGAAACACTTGAAGCGCTTGACACCTACTGAAGTGCTTGGAACCTCCCGAACCAACAGCCGCTGCCCTTTGTTGTTTTGTGAATGCCTGGGTCAGAGGAGGTGAAACCTCGTTCCGAGAATTGATTTGCCCTATGAAGTCGGATGATGCGAATGCAGCTCAACATCTCCGAAATGTGCTTCAACCTAGAGGCGCGATTACCGGATGATGCCAAAGTAGCTCAGCATCTCTAGAAGAGTGTGATTAAACCCTGATTCGTTTGCTCAATTTGGTGCTGAGATGCTGCAGAATTGGATGGTAGCAGCGCAACTCAACATCTAGATAATGTGCTTAAGCCCTCCTTGAGAAACTCGGTTTGGCTATGAGATGCTGTCGAATCGGATGATACCAGTACAGCTCAACATCTACAGGATGTGCTTAAACCCTCGTTCCGAGACTCGAGTTGGCTTTGAGATGCTGTCGAGTCGGATGATTCGAATACAACTCAACGGTGCTTGACTCTTGCACATTTGCACTTGACTAGCTTTTGGCACTTGACGCAGTGCACGCCGATACTTGACGCACACTTGACACGTTGCATATTGCCACCTGACACTTGACACTTGACATAGGGACTTGATAACATAGGTGGCACATCGACACTTGGTGCAATGCACACTCTCACTGGACACATTGACACTTGGCACGTAGCACATTGATGTTTGACACATTGATACTTGCCACTTGACAATTTGCACATTGCACATTGAAACGTAACACATTGGCATTTAACACTTGTACATGGACACTTGACACTTGCACATTTGCACCTGAGACATTGCACACAGGCAGACACACACACACACACATGGCATCCTGTACATTCGCACTTGGCACACTTGACATTTGATACATTGCACATTGACGCCTTACACATTGACATTTGACACTTAGCATTGCACATTGAAACTTGACACATTAGCAGGTTGATGAACAGACTTTTCACGATGACAGTGCATTCTGTCGTCAAAGGCAATTTTTGAAAGGCATCCAGTCGCAGAGTCAAGATGAAAGTGCTTCCAAAGGAAGTTTTTAAAAAGCGAAATCGCAATCAGTTGGAAAGACATCTTTTTTGTGATTCCGCCTCAAAGACATTCAAGTTTCAATGTGCAAATGTGAAAAGTGTGAAGTGTAAATGCAATGTGACGAGTGTCACTCTGCAATGTGTCAATGTGCCAACGTGCAAGAAAATTGGGTTTGCCTGGGGGTAGGAGGGGCCTGGGGACTCGGGCGAGGAGAATAGCTGAGTGAAAATATCTCACGGTGCTGAACATTATTGATTCTGAGGGGCTTTCGCCGGGCAGTGATTGTGAGATGCGTGTGTCCGCGTGTCAGCGCCCACGGTGACACAGGATATTGCCGAGAGAACTCAAACTTGGCGATGGGACGGTGGGCTGTGGACATAGCAAAAAATCAAGGCAGGGGAAGGCTACAATATCATACACTAGACTCAACTGACATGTGTGACATGAACAATGGCATGCTTCGAGGCTTGCCGATTTTCAGAGCCTCTCTCTTGGGCTCTGACTTGGTTTCTTGGCACATTTGTTCTCAGCATTGCACGCTGCCCACTATGTTTGCCCACCAAGCTGGCGTAATCTTCATTTTGCTCTGGTGAGGTCTGGGTTTCGGATCCGGATCTGACAGAGGAGATCATGCAGGGGGACCCGCACAGGCACATGATTCTGAACCTTTTTGCTTATTTGTGGTCTTGTCTTTTGAAGGAGTGAAAGAAGGAAAGAGAAAGGTCAGAGAGACACTATGAGATGCGGAGGTACACCAAGGACTTCTCGCAGCTGCCACTAGGTGGAGACCTGATCGAGTTATCCTTCGGAGTGACGTGGCTGCAGAGTCGAAGCTGCCATCTTTCAATGCATGACGGGCTTTGCTGGGAGCAACGTTGCCCAAGAACGGTATGTTCTTTGCCGCGACCGGCGATGCAAAGTGGGAGATCCCGCACAGGATCCTCAAGACGCCCTTCTCTGTCCGAGGCTGGCTTGGGATGGCTGTAGATGTTTCACGCCTACCCGCTTTAAGGAGTTTGCTCTGTGATATTTCCCTCGGTATCCCTCGGTTACAAGAGGGGATCAAGTGCAACGTCAGCTCCCCCCAACACGACCCTGTCCGGCTGTTTCATGAGACATCCCCCAAGTCCCCTGGCCGAGCATGAGACTAATCAGAAAACCAGCTGTTTTATAGAATTCATGGAGATTTATACAGGCCGACTATGGCCCTCTGCCAATCAATGCCCATCGTCGGGCCCGAAAAACGAAAGACACCGAAACCTGGCCACTTCTTCGTAGGCTGCAGGTGTCTGCAGGCAAGACGTCACCGCTTCATCGAGCATGCCACCCCTCCCCTGTATTGAGGGGTGTGACGTTGCTGGAGCAAAATGTTCGATCGGATTGGTTCGACGACACCATTGTACTGTTGCGCCCGCTTTAGTATCGCTTCTCGCGGTACAGGGAAGTTCCGGAAAAATACAGGGGATACCCCTATTAATGATGCTCATCCGCAATCATTATGTGAAGTTCGCGGCCCGAGGATGACGGGTGGCCCAGGGAGCCAAAATTATCAAATGGGGTTTTGAATAAGAAGGCCTTGAAAGCTCAGACCCTAGCTTCAAGGCTTGGCGCAATTCGAACTCCAAACTCCAGAATTTTCTGGAGTCGTCTTTAGATAGACCCCTGTTAAATTTCAGTACGAAACAGGCCCCCAAGCACTGTTTCAATGGAGTAAGTAGCCCACGAGCTGCCTCATGCGCTTTAGTATATTGTTTCGGTTACCCGCATTTGCCCGCAGCCGGGGAGCCAAAAAGCCTGGAAAGCTTAAGCGCTCAAGCTTCGGATTGCCTGATGCTGAGGCATACGTGCGATCATGCCGATGATGCGCGAGCAAGCAGACAAGCTAGTGGCAGCCTTGAAGCGTGACGTCGGCCATGGTGGAAGCACGTACATCGATGCCAGCCACCTAGTTGAGGAATTCAAGTCGGTATGTGTGGGGAATTGTGGGGAGGATGATGCGATTCCCAGCGTTTTTGCCCGTAACATCGAGGCGTGGGTGACGAAGATGGCCTTCGAAACGATTGCAGTTTGTGGGCTGGGCACGCTCTTTGGCCAAACTTGCTCTCTCCCTCTTTGTGTCTTCGTCCTTCTCCAATTCAACACGAGCACGTGGAGAGAGAGAGGGGGGGCGAGAGTTTGGCAAGGCGAGGCTTGAGGGCTTGTGCTCAATTTCGCGCTTGGGAGGTCCTTCGGGTGCTTCGAAGATGACCAGACGCACCCCTTCATCAACGCGCTCAACGAGGCCGGTGGCAGTGCTGCAACAAGCTTCCGAAGCTTTAGAAGCGAGTGGCTCTTTGTCTCTGTCTGAATCTCTGGCGCAGACGATTGCAGCTATCGATCCTTTGGGCCAGTGCCCGGCCATCCTGAGGCTGTTGCTTTCTGGGATCTTGTCGGGATCCCCCTGTGCAAAGCTGCAGTAAGCCTCAAGAATCAACGATCCCTCAATTTGTCCACAAGCTTTTGCACGTTTGTGCCTTGGAACAGAGTGCGTTTGCCGTCGGAATGGCCAGAGGCCATTGTTCTGTCGGGATCTCATGAACAAGTACCTTACCGGGTCCAAAAGCTGCTTGCCTGATCCACCTTCTATTTCTCCACTTGGAACCGATTGTGTTAGCTCACCTGCTGCGCGGATGTGCAAAGGCATCCGTGACACTTGCTGTGATGTGATTCGACAGCGTCGTGGAGCAGGCAGCACTGGCGAGAGCCGGAAGGACTAACCGCAAGACATGTGGTCAGCAGAGCCTTCGCTGCTTGAAAGAGTTCGCCCGGAAAGAGCTTCCAGGCTTGAGTGCGTTGCTGCATAGCCCGGTTCGTCAGTACTGCCTTGTGCCTTCACCAACAGCCAGCCAACAAGCAGGGGCAATGAGTGCATGTCCGTGTTGTGACATGTTGACAAACATGTCGGGCAGGACCTTCTTGACATGATGCTGAATGATGTGGATGCAAAGACAGGTCAAACCATGAGCCATGGCCAGCAGAGGATGTAGCAACACTGCAATGCTTGGTTTCGGCATTCTGCGCACTGCTCTGGACTCGCCCCTTAGGGTTCCTTCATCTCTGAGGACTGAGGACATGATTGTCGACAACGTGCTCACTTTTCTGTCTCTCGGTTCATTTTCTGCTCATGCACCCGAAAAACGGTACATCGCGGCTTCTCGCGGCTTCTCGCGGCTTCTCGCAGCTTAAGGTTCGCTGGTCAGGACTCCACCGCAGCGGCCATGGCTTCGTGCCTTTGCTTCTTGCTGCCTGGCGAAATCTTGTGGGAGTGGGGGGAACTTTCGCCATTGCCTTACTCGACTTTCTGCTGAGCCCTCGAGGTGCTCTTTCCCGGAGTGCAAGGACCTGGGATTGGAGTCGCGAACAAAGTCATGTCAAACATGAGACGTGTAGTGGGAGTGCGAGGAGCGACTCATCAAGGAGATCGACGAGGTGGTTGGCAATGACCAGTTGGAGTGGGACCATCTGGGAAAGTTGCAGATGCTGGGCCGAGTTCTAATGAGTTCCAGGTCCTTCGCAGATGCTGCAAAGTCTCAAGGTGAAAATGTCGTAAAATGTCCACGTCTAAGAGTCTAAGGTATCTGGATTGGTGCCTGAAGGAGACACTCCGCCTGGCACCCCCAGCACCCATCATCTTGCGGCAATCAACGAAAGGTGCCGAAGAGCAGCTGCTGGGAGGAAGATGGCGGATGCGTGCGGAGATGCCGGTGATCATCAACATCATGGCTCTGCACTACAGCACCTGGGACTCCACCTCAACTAATCTCCAACTCGACAACCCGAGACTGACATACTGTAGGAGTGAGGCCGTTAGGCAGAGGTGGGAGTCCTGGGAGTCAGCATTCATCGAGGCAAAGCGCTCTGGGGAGATGATGCTGCAGAATTCCGCCCCGAGCGCTGGGAGTGGCTTGCCACCAGTGTTACAAAGAAGCTACATGGCACATGCCGTGGTTCGTGATCGTTGTTGAATTTTCCGGAGGCAAGAGCATGATGTTGCTTGGCATGGCTCTTGCTGAGGCATGGCCAGCCGCACAAGTTCGCCTACATGCCGTTTGCTACGGGTCCACGTGCCCCACCTGCTTGGTATGGGTCTTGATGAGTCTTAGATTGTCTTGAGCCTTGAGTTAGCATCCAGACCCAGGCCAATGCATCGGCAGAGAGTTCACGTTGGTGGAACAGAAAATCACAATGGCACTGGTGCTGCACCAAGACTTGCTGCCGAGCCACAAAGTAGGTGGTCCTCAGCCTCACCCCTCTGGGGAAGAACTCCTCAGCATATTTTCGTGCTCTTTCCCTCCCATGTCATGCTGAACAGAATCAAAGGACCAGGAATAATCTCAGGTAAAGTTCTTCCAGAACTTCGACCTTCGCTCTGCAGACACCACGCAGGTCTTTACGAAGCTTATGAGTTCCCTTTTTTCGGTGCCGGTCCATGCCAACCATGTTGGTGCAGACAGCTCGCAGTGAATACAGCCCGGAAACAGGTTGAAGAAGGCTACGCGCTCGTGGACCACAAGAATGCCAAACATCCTCCCTTCCTTACAATTGATACGTGCCCCCACAGCAAGATACTCTAGACTCGAGTCGAGTTCGAGTTTAGGCCTAGGGCTCAAACGTGTTGCTGGACCATCAAGGCAAGTCAAGAAGGACAGCGCCTTCTTGGGCTTCTTCCGGGCATTCCAGTTGCTGGAGCGAGGGCAGGAAGGCTGTCCTGCATAAACAGCCCAGGTATGAAGGCCAGGCCGGTTGTAGAACTTGTTGCAGTGCGTTTGGTTGCTGAATCACCGCTGCATCGATGCGTGATGCTGTCAATCGCTGCTGGCCATGATGACGATATCGAGTGCATGGGCCTTTATCTGGCGACCAGGTGTGGCTTGGGATTGCAGTGGAGCCACTCATCATCGGGGCACTTCTCCTCTAACACGCTCCGCCTGCAAGTGCTACCGGATTGGTGGCACCGCAGGTGAGTTGGCGGGGGGAGGGGGCGATAATTCGAAGTCCCAGGCATGCAGGCCGACGAGGGACCGGCAGCTACACACACTGCTGACTTGCGCTAGCAGGTGAGGCTGCATTTGCAAGTTTTTAGTCCAATTTAATGGCCCGCACACAGGTCACAAGAGCTTGCAGGCCTTTTCAAGAGTTCAAGAGCATTCAAGAGCTACAGCTAGGTGTACTCTGATGGGTGGTACAGTGCCTCAGATGCAGCCCCATGTCAAAATCGACGGAGTGCCTGGCACTTGCAGACACTGTTGTAATTTGAGTCCTTGCCCATTTGACCGGTTGTGCCGTTTCCGTTTGCATACAAGGGCTGATACGAACAGTTTGAAAGCTAAGGTTGATCGTGGCTCGTTTTGTTTTTCCTTGCTGCCTCATGTTGTATCGACAATGCTTTTCGAAGTCAGTGTTCATCAGGGCATCCATATTGGGACTTGGTGCTTCAAGTCACTGAGACATCTTGTAGAAGGAGGGCGTCTGGCACTCAGTACTCCCCAGAGATGGATCATGGTTAGTTGACCAATATGCGTTATTGTAAGCTTTAGTTGTTGGCATGTTTTTTCCGAGGGAGCATCAGTCTTCTTCGATCTTTGAACGGGTTGTAAAGAACAGTTGGAGATTTATGTGGTGCTCCTTTGCCAGGTCAGAGAATGGAATGAGAGTCATCCGTGAGTGTGGCATTGCAGGGTGCGTTATTCCTGCCAGAATTGTTTGTTCTGTTCTTGTCGTATTACGCCTTCCGGCTGATGCCTGCTGGGCTTGCCAAGCACCCAGAGCAGTCGAGGTTTCCGATTGGCCCGATGGCTCGGGCTCTCCACTTGTTTGGATCTTGATCCGATTCAAAAGCTGCCGTGGAGAGCTCTCGGGCGTGTTGTGTGCTTGAAAAACAGCTGCCGCGCCATCAGCTATGTTTTCTCAGAGTGCCATGAAAGCATCACAGGAATTTGGCTGCCGTGCGCCTTGCGTTATTGCATACAACCTAGGAGCACGATAACGGCTCCATCAGTGGTCCCCCAGCCACATGTCTCCAGGAGATGATTAGTGCCCTTGAGCAGAAGAATCGTGATGAGTTGGGCAAGAAGGCTTTGGATGGGTGCAGTCCAGACCGATGCAGACATTGCAAGACTCTGAAAGACTCTGATCCTGTGTTCTTTTTGAACCGTTGTGAGATCCCTGTCCCGCATCGGCAGTTGGATTTGCCTGTTGCATCTGCCGATCTTTTGTGCATGCATGCTGTGTTCCTGAAGCCAGGCCTTCTGCGACCAGGCAAGGGAACCAACATCGAAGAAGTTCGAGTTAGTTCGCATGAAGTTGGTGTGAAGTGTCAGTGCATCTCCGCAATCATGGCTTCGGGTGATTTCTGGCAGGAGATGAAGCACACAAAGACAGCTCTTGATGAGAGGGAGGACATGGAAAGCACATTCCCAGCACCTTTCCCAACCAATGAGCACTCAGTCGAAGATCCCAGCTCGCTGTCGAGGATGAAGCGAAGCGACAGAAAGCAGCCTTGGAGCTGGCATCCTCACAGGCCATGCCCAGCCACAAAATGCCCCGCTTTCCTTTTCCGTTTTATTAGGCAAGGTTTCACTTGTCCTGTTTGCAGGTGGCACAGCTTCGACAAGAACTTGCGACCTTAGCAGACGAGCCGTGCACCACAGCATGTGGCTGACAAATGTTGAGGTGCTAGAATCTGCTAGAACGTGAGACTACCCGGCTCAAAGACCTTCCTGCTGGTATTATGTCGTCTCCTGCTCGTATTGCCGACGAGCATGTATCAGGGGAGTGGTGCTTCAAGATGAGACTCCAAGAGACTCTCCTCTCCGGCCATGAAATTGGTAGGTACCAACAAACCGACCATGGGTTTGGTAGGTTCCTGCCTGTGCTGCACACAGAACCCTACCAGGAAAGTTCCCGGATTTGCCACCTGTGTTGCTTCTGTGTTCGGGGATAAGGCTTGGCGACATTGCTACGAGCGACCAAGAGCTGACCAAGATGCGGGAGGCCTTCCGGGTTCTGCAGAAGGAGCCTGACTAGATGCTCTGTGGGCGAAAGGTGCGAAGAGTGTCATACCAAACTTGTGAAGCTCGGACAGGCTGAGCACCAGGAGCATGTGAAAGTTTCTTGGCGGCACAGAAGCACTTAGGTTGGCCACCGGCACGGACAAGCAACTGCCCTTCGTTTTAACTTTGTTTGAACATGTTTGGGAAGCTTTGCAACGTACCTGTTATTCACGTGCATACAGATACATACAAGACCGCGTCTGCATGCAGCTGGTGGAAGCATAGCTTCGCAGACTCGCAGTCGCAGAGCCTTGCAAAGGGCAAAGAACATGTTGAAGGTCATTGAACACACCAGACATGCTTGTTGCCACTCCTGGTTCACAGGGTTCACAATCTAAGTTCCCATATCTTGTAATTAAGTGGATGGCTGCATTTTTTGCGACTCATCCTATTTGCCGTTGGGAACGCAACGCGATAAAGTGCATTCCCAGTTCGGTTCGAAGGAAGGAATACAAGGGGGATACAAAGGTGGTCTGCCTAAATGATGGGAGACTTGGGGATCGCCGTATCCCATTGTCAGAAGGGTTTTTTGTTTCCACAACATATGAGGAATCAAGAAAAGTATTCCTGTGTCCAGGCTTTCAAAGACCTGGAGCTTGGCTTGGCTGGAGTTCAAGCAGCGATTAAGGCCAGCATCAGTCTGGGGCTTCAGTCTGCCATGAAGATTGTAGTTCTAGGTGGACATATTCGATACACAAGTTTCATAATGGATACCTGAGGGTTCTTCTACCACCCCCCCCCCCCCCCGTAAGATGGACACTTAAAGGCTATGCTGCACGTGCGTGCCTTGTAAACAAATACTTTACAAAGGAAACACCCGCAGAATAGACGCAACGCACCCGCAGAATAGACGCAATGCACCCTTAGCATCAGCGCACTGTGTCCCGGGCGGAGGGCGCGGAGGGCGCGGAGGGCGCGGAGGGCGCGGAGGGCGCGGAGGGCGCGGAGGGCGCGGAGGGCGCGGAGGGCGCGGAGGCGCGCGGGGAGGGGCGGTGAGGGCGCGGGGAGGGCGCGGGCGCGGAGAGGGGCGGAGAGGGCGCGGAGAGGGCGCGGAGAGGGCGCGAGAGAGGGCGCGCGGAGGGCGGGAGAGGGCGCGGAGAGGGCGCGGAGAGGGCGCGGAGAGGGCGCGGGAGAGGGCGCGAGGGCGGGGAGAGGCGCGGAGAGGGCGCGGAGAGGGGCGGAGAGGGCGCGGAGGAGCGCGGAGGGCGCGGAGGGCACGGAGGGCGCGGAGGGCGCGGAGGGCGCGGAGGGCGCGGAGGGCGCGGAGGGCGCGGAGGGCGCGGAGGGAGGGCGCGGAGGGTGCGGAGCACGCAGAGGGCGCGGAGCACGCGCAGGGCTAGGAGGGGCGTCCACGTGTCCCCACTCCCTTGCCCCTCAACGGAATGTCACGCTCCCCCCCCGAACCCGTCCGTCAACCTCCAGGCATGGTCCACGCCTCCCCACACCACCCCTCTCCCAGCAAAATGTTCCGAACCCCCTCCCTCCCGTCAAAATGTTGACCGTCTCCTCTTCGTGGCCTCTTTCGCCAAAAAGCGATCCCGGTAGAACGCCTTCCGCGTTGAAGCGCCAAACGAGAACCCAAGAACCGAATTGGTTTTCGGGAAGAATCCAAGAAAACAAAGAGCACGCGCAGAATAGACGTTAAGCGTCCAAGGCACACCCCCCCCCCCGCGTCTTGACAGCAGCTGGCAGCGGATTCGGATGGTTTGCACGACCCCCAAAAAGCCCGACACTTCGCAAGCGCTAGTTCGCGCACAAGGGCCAACAATATCCCAGCAGCTAAACTCGGCTTTCTAAGTGGAAATGTGCTAGAAACTAGGGCCGCGCAAGAGCGCAAAAGGGCGAAGCAACAGGAATTTCGGGACAGGCCGAAGAACTTGAACAAAGAGCAAACCCCCACTCGCTCATGACACTGAATGGGTCTGTAACTGCCGCTCCGATTGTTTGGTGACTTAGCAAATTAGTACTGAGTTGCTTGTTACTCTTGTGAACTCCCAGGCGGGAATGTTGAGATCCTCTCCTCAGAAGAAAGCGGAACGCGCCCGGCTGGATGGGTGGAATGCTGGGGTGCCTGCGGGCTCGGATAGGTTGAATGCCGCTTGGAGGTGCATGGGGGGGCCCGCTGGTTTTGGCTCTGAAGTTGGGGGCAGTGGCTGTATGTGGCTGTATCCCCCGTCCCATGTGTTCAAAACATGCGCATACCTTGGGCCCCGTCGAGGCCCCTCCTTTCTCCCATGGCGTTGATCAGTCAACCCTGCATATGGCGGAGTTTCAGTTTTGCAGTCCTTTCGCTGCACGCTTTGAGGTGTGGGTGGCCTGCGTCACCGGTGCAACATTCAAGAGAGTTGGAACCTGTGTATCCATGTAACCCCTTCCCTTCAATATGAAACCACCCCTACAGTACCTAATTTTCAAACGGGATCTGGCACGCTTTGTTTCAATTTCAACACAGCACGACCTGCCTCGGCCCCACCCATGCTGGCAACATTAACGTGCAGTAGCATCTGGCCTGACCCATAGAGGTGCATGAGGAGTATAGAGGGTCCATAGTACAGAGGGTTTTTCCTACGAGAAAGATACGTGGAAAAATCAATTCGCAAAATGAAGGTTTTCCTACGAGCATGTCTTACAGAAAAACGCAGGACGGAGGCCACACATGCACGGAAAGCACCACACTGCAGTAAAAATGTAAAACGAGGCCCAAGTACTTGAAGACACCCATTCGCACCCAGCATTGAGGGCTTTCCTATGTTCAGCTTATTTGGGCATTCGTCCTGCGTTCGTCCCACAAGAAAACCCGCAACGGGCTGGCAGCGAATTGTCTACAAGCCCTGAACCCAAAGCAAACCCTAAGCCTTAGGGGTTTAGAACTTGAGTGTTAGTCATCTACCTTACTACGGGGGCCCCATTTGTTTTGAATATTGGGGCGGTGCTTAGGATCCAACACAGAACGGAATCACTGCTTTGTGTTTTCGTGTCACATGAGGTGTTCTTGATGTTTTGAAAATCATTGTTTGGCACTTTGCAGTTCTGTTTTTTGAGTTGATGTGCTTATGCACTTCTTTTGAGCGCGCATCGATAGCAGCCGCTACTTGATCGCACTCTTCAATCCAGCGCGTTTTCTGATGAAACCTTCGATTCCAGGCCCTGCGGGACTACTACTCGCAGGACCGCCAGCCTGTCAAGGTCGACATGGCAGTGGAGTGCTTGGAGATTGCCATCCCACAGTGACATGATCGTTTGCTATTGGCCCTGCGTTTCGCTGCATGTCGCTGACTTCCAGCAAGCGACTGCAAGGCGTTGCTACCACGACCTTGTTTACTTGTTTGACAAGCAACTAAAGGCATCCATGGCGCTTGCAGCCGAAGGGAGGGCACCGCGGCTCACCGAGGCACACTGCGAGATGCTTTGAATTGGCATATGAGCCATGCTGAGCCCTTGATGCCAGCTGTGCGCCTGCCTTGACATAATCCAGGTCGAGGCCAGTGCGGCTGGCGCCAGGTACTCAAAGCGGATGTCAAAACAGTCCAGGTATGTCGAGGTCCTCATCTGCAGACTGATTTGAGCTTTTCTTCACCGTCGAGTCGTGCAGTACGAGAACAAAGGCTGCACGATCCTTCATTCCAGCCATGAACATGGCGAACAGTTTAACAGTTTGGGAATGTGACCGCTAGTTGATCGCTGGTGTCGAAGTGTGTGAGCTTCTTGCCTAGGAAATTGAAAGGGAGTTTTGGCAAGCTGATAAATGAATCTGACTCTTCGAGCTTGACAAGCTGAGGCAGGTGTCATCGGCCTGTTGGAGGCCCCTTTCACATCCTCCTAAACAGCGTGGTCAGAGGTGGTCAGATCTGCTTGGTGTGACCACGTGTGACCTCATGTCCAGGTCGTGGAGTCCAACTTCGCAAGAAACATGGCCGACCTGCAGTCGCAGGACACTTTGATACTTTCTGTGATATGCCCCGCAAGGATGCCTATTTGTGATGGCTTTTTGTGTTCAACGTTTGGACCTGACTCGGCTCTGCAGGATCGCAACGCTCAGGAGAACTATGATCAGATGATTCACCAAAGCCAGGCGCAGTGCACGCCTCCTTTTTGGGAGCTGAATCCTTTCTGCCAAGTGGCCTAGCCTTTGCGAGTTCCTCATACACCAGAGAGTTGGTGCAATCAGTGCAATCGCTGGACGCCATGGGTTTTTCAATTGTTTTACCATGGCAGGTGCTCAAGGCACAGAAGGATGCCGATGTGAAGCACAAGACTGCAGAGGCAGTTCGATGCAGCATTGCTGTTTGTCCCCTTATGCCCTCTATTAACAAAATGAGCTCAGTGATGTGATGTGACAAGGGGCATTACACAAGGAGAGGGCTTGTAAGACAGATCTCTGGTAATTCGACGCGGGGGGAAAACTTGCCCACACTCTTCATTTCTGCTTTCCAGGGGAGGCCTAGGCATGCTTAGACGTTTGAGAGACATGCGCGCTTCTTGACACTACCCGGCTGGTGTTCAGAGTTTGTTGCTTCAGGCGTTACAGTACTGTACAGCTGAAACATACTTGGCAACTGGATGCTCCTGCAGGCCACCAACCTCGAGCGCAGTGTGACTGAATTGCGGTGCCACCTCAGATCACTTTTCGTAGGATGATTTTGTTTGCAAGATTGTGGCTTCCCAGGTCAGACTCAGCTTCAGCGCAGCAGCAATTCGAAGCGGTGACAGAGTGCCCTGCAAGCGGCCATTGTCCATGCTTTTTTACCCCCATGAGGCTTGCCTTCCTGGCATTGCTCTCTGCAATCCGCTCAAACTGCTCCAGGTACCTGGCCAAGCTCAAGGATGAGTGCACTGCCAAGGTACCCGTCAATAACGGGGCTCTCGGAAGTCCTTGCGGAGTTTTTGTCCAGCCTTTTTTGGGATGCTTTGCAGTGCACGATCCCCTGATTTCCAGTGTAGTTCTGTCTACGGGAAGGTCGAGACTCGGGAGGAGCGCATTGCTCGGCGGGCCAAGGAGATGGAAGGCGGACGAAATTCGACCTCTCGATATCCATGTGTGTGTGTGTGTGTGTTAATGTATTGATCGAAAAAGCAGCATTGTTCAGCGTGACATGTACAGGTCTCCAGGAGGCGCTCTCTATCTTGGAGTCGCGGTAGCTGCAGAGGCTGAGGCTTCATAAAGAACGACCGTGAACAACTTTAGTAGACATCTCGCAGAATCATGGCTAGTGCACTTTTAGCTAGCAGCTGAAACAGAAGACCAGCAAGTTTCACCCGGTAGCATAGCCGCTAGTGCCCATTGTGGCCGTCAGCGTTGCATGTGCAAAAACTGGCGCGACACGCACGACTCGGATGTGTGAACGCTGCTATGCAGGGCAACAAGGACTGGAGACTGCGATAGGTTTTCGTCGAGCCTTTGCGGATTCATCTGATTGCTTTCATGCACTGACTTGCAAGACATGTCATGAATGCAGGTGGCACTCGGGCGGACTTGAGTTGTCACATGCTGTCAACCAACCGTGACTCAGACCAAAATCTTTGCTTTCAAACAAGCTGGCAATAACATCCGAGTAGCATATCAGCATGGCATCTCGCAAAAGGCTGCAGTCGGTAGGTGTACAGTCCACAATTTGTATATCACGAAACCCTGAGCCTCCTTCCAATTCCAATTCCCATTTCTTGAACCAAGCGCCATCAAGCGCCCTCCATGTCCTGGCGGCGGAGCCATGAACCGAGTGCTGAAAAATCCGGCAACGGCCGGAATCCAAGTCGTCTGATCAGTCTGATCAGAACGGGATCGTCGTGTGTGTTTTACAATGTGAGTGTGCCCACACCCCTGGCAGGCAAAGCTGCACGCGGACAGGCCCTTAGCCGATCTCCAGCCTTTGGGTGTTGAAATTTCTCCAGGTCCCCACCTGGACAAGAACTCATGTGGAGTCTGCAGTATTCTGTAACTTGCAACAGCGAAACGCAGTTTCGGCACCGTCCGGCAGGCCGGTAAGAGGGTTTTCTGGAGGGTGGCTTTAACGTTCCCCTTTACATTTGTGACACTGCGACAGGTGTAGGATGTAGAAAATTGAAGGTACATGATAGGTTGAATAGGCGAAGGTTCTTGCGTGTCTGTCTCTTCATGATAGGTTGAAGAGGCGAAAGTTCTTGCGTGTCAGACCAGAAGAGAAGAATTTTCATGCAGTTTCGACTTAGACCGCCCCAGGCCTCTTGGGTTTTCCGGACCTTGTGAGCAAACTGGAGCTCTAAAAAATGTGTGCATGCTGCATCATTGGCTGCATGTTGCCCGTCTCGGGTTTCTTGGGTTTGCAATCCAGGATGTGCATCATGGCTGTCACTTCCCAGGTTGGGACGAGAACTGGGGAAGCACAGAATGGAAGGCGCTCCGTGAATAAAGGAAAGTATTTGAAAGGTTTGGCCTCGGCTCTATTGTGTTTCACTTGTCGTACTATCAGTCCTGGGTCGTATGCCTCGCAAGGAAAGGTTTCTCTAGCGAGCTTGCTTGTGCTTGCTCAGTGAGTCCACATGCGATCTGTAAGTGGCACCGATTTCCAGGCAAGAACATGGATGAGTAAAGAGGCACCCGAGTGAGCTGTGATCTGCTGGCATGCGCATGCTGGGGAAATCGCTTTGCGAGCACACCGACGGTGTGTGTGGACTCCTTCGCGCAAACCCGAGAGGCGAAGAAGACAAAGGTCGACCGTTACCCGGCTTTATTGTCACATATTGTCACGTTTCAGGAGCTGGTCAGACGTCATAGACACCCGTAGAATCCGGTAGACATCCAATGCAACAATTCCTTTTGATGGAAGGCTCCACGGACAAAGATTCCATGGCTCAACAGGCCTGCACTGATGGCAAGTCAGGGCCGGCCTGGTTGCACGTCACCATGAAGTTCCGCGCGAAGCAATTGAAGCAATTCTGCCAGTTTGCCAAAGCCCTGCAGCAGTCCACTCTCACATCTCTCACCTTCCCAAACTAGCAGGCCGTGTTTCTTGAAGCACGTTTCAGCGCATTAGCGGCTAGTAGGGTTTGACCGAGCTTGTTCTGTCAAATAGTGGTGTGAAGAGGTTCCTCTCCCCCAGCGCATGCTGTAAGCAAACGTTGCTATGGGATACAGAACTTGCTATTTCCCAAGGCAGGAATGCTTCAGGATTGCTTGATGGTTTCTCCTCAGACAGAAGAAGGTGCTCTGCGGTGGGCGGATGGGTGGTCTGTTGGACCCAAACCTGGCTCCCTTCACAGCCAGCCGCGAACACGAACAGTATGCGCCACAAAATGCGCCGCAACATGCACCGCAACATGCACTGCAAAATGCCCTTAAGCACAGCGACGGCGCCCCGAAGCGTTTGAAATTTAAAGCAGTGGGTCTTGCGCAATGGGGGAGGAGGGGTTTTGAGCGATGTGCTACCAGAATTTCGGCATCTAGGGTTTCGCGAGACACCCTCAAAACGAATTCGAGATTGTGGAAAGTGCGTTCGTTCCAAACATTGGAGATTTGGAATTGTGGAGTTGTTAATCCTAAGAACTTAGTCCTTGCGATTTTTCCTTTCTAGTTGCGATTTTCACTTGAAGTTTTCTAGATATCGCTGGTTTCTCAAGTACCAGTTTCTAAGCATGCGAAGCTTTAATATGTTTGTCTTCGAAAATATGAAACGGGGATGTGGGGGGTACGCACATGAGCATACAGTGCCTAGACTCCCGGACTCAAGAGTTTGTAGTTCGGGCACAAGAGTTAAAACAGTTGCCAGGTCCACCAAGTCGTAAAACCGTGTTTTGCTGCGCGCAAGAGTGGCGCTGCCTCCACATCCTGGAGGAATCCCCTGTGGGCAAAAACAGAAAGTTTGTGCAGAAAGTTTGTCATTTTGTGGCATGTGACGACGCATCAGTGAACACATCGAATTGCGATGACAATTCCCAACTGCCGGTCTGATTCGAATCATGCTGTTTGGGGTCTTTGTGAGAAAAGGCACGATGCACATGCTTTCTGACAAGAGAACATATGTCCCGACAGGGTCGGCCGAGCGGTGAGAAAGGGAAAAGTGGGGAGCTCAGAATCTGGAGAGCCGAGGATGTGAGCTGAAATTTCTGCTGTACCACTGGATGGCCAGAGCACAGTTTCAAGAGAGAAAGGTGACAGGTCACCGAAACTGTCCAGCAAACACCAGCTGAACATTTGCCTTAACTTGTTTGTCGGCACAGACCTTCGATTGGCCTTGGGAGTCCGGGACGGAACAACTTTGGCATAATGAGGAACGGTCAAGGCTTGACTAGTTGCTTCGGATCCAATACAAGTAGGAACCAAGTAGCTACCACCCACCAGAGACAGCTGTGTAAGCGTTTGATTCCTCTGCTATGCTCTTGTGACTGGCTTTGTGGTCCTATATTTTTTGAGAGCTTCTGCCGTGCAAAACGCACATAGGCTACAGCCACAACTTGTTTGGGACCTTCACAGCCTGATGAACACAGGCTCAGCCACGAACAGGGAAAGTGCGCCGTGCAACCAGCCGCTGTCCCAGCCATTGTCCAAGTATGTCATGTGTTGAAGGCACATCACCTGAACTGATGTGTGCTGGCATAGCAGTCTAAAGCTACTTCCCCCTCATCCTCACGAGCCAGGTCAAGGCCTATCACGCCAGGCAAGTTTGGGAGGGGTGTTGAGAAGCTAAGGGGGACGAAACATGCCGTATGTCACCGCACGTCACCGTATGTCGATGCATCCAGCTGTCTGCTCCTCTTTGCCTGAAGAGTTAGGCTTTAGAGTCTAGCATGCTCCAGCTACAAATCTTGGCTGCTCCACTTGCATACAGGCACATGGACCCCAAACCACGCCCTAAATGCTGAAACATGCGTAGATGAGAATGCAAACTTTCATCCAGCAGCTTACCGTGCAGATCAGTGTGATCCAGCAACGAGGTGCTAGATAGGTAGTCCGAGAGGAGGGCATTTGCCATCCGACGATGGACGATCGAATGGTCCGCTCTGTGGGCCCGGAGACGCAGCAAACAAAGGAAGAACAGTCTCGGCAGCGAGGCTTTAGACGGAGAGGTGCTCCAGCTGTCAGGCATGTCAGGCCCAGCTTCTGGAGCCCAGAGCCCTCCTTGGCAGCAGAGGCCGACGCCACAGCCAGTGTCCGCACGGGGCGTAGTGGCTCGACCTCGCAATCTTGGCCGCGACCTCACCACAGCCACGCGCAGCTGGCGGTCCTGACATGTCTTGACAGAGCACTGACAGATGTGTTTTCGCGCTGCCTTGTCGGCATGAACCTCGATCGATTCGCGGATGCCGCCCAGCTCCTGATCCTTATCCGCGTCCTCCTCTTCATCCTGCCGAGAGTGACGGCCGCGTCCTTCAAGCCGGGCTTTGTCCCGAGGTCCGTTTCCACAAGCGTGTACGCGGACGCATTCGGCATGATCATGTCACCAACGGACAAGCTCACCAGGAGAGGGAAGCACTCGCAGGTCGTGTTTTCGTTTTAGCCTGCTTATTGTTTTGCTGGTCGTGGACGATGGTATCCTTGCTTCGAGCTCGTGCCGTCCAAGGCCAACATCGCAAATGCGATCTCCCGATAGGACTTGATGCGGGCGGATCTCCGACGGATGGGAACTTTTCCGAGTACCCTTCTCCGCCTCGCGGACGACGTCCTCTATCCGCGAGGCGGCCGAGAACCTAGAAACGTTGTTCGCCCTGCTTCTGTGAGCTGGCACGGCGCATCCAAGCAAAACAGCTTCAGCCTTTCAGTCCGCTGGTATGTAGTGCGTGCGAAGCGCCCTCGCCCCGCAAGCTTCGCTCGCCGAACTTTTTCCCGCCTATTTACACGGCCGGTGGGAATTTTCGTCGGCTTGCTTCAACCGTGCCAAGGGGCGCCGGCACATTATTCAATCGGGCGCGGGAGGATCCCACCCGGAACATCCGACCAAATCGGTTTCAGCCTTTCAGTCTGCCGGAACAGCGCAGCGTTGTTGTGATGAAAACTCGGAACTTGTCGTGTGCATGTTGCATGTTGGAGTGAGCAAGCCGAGAGAGCCTCTGACTTTATATGCCCTGACAATCCCTGACAGTTGAGCTCTCTCCCAGCCTGGGGCAGTCGCTGCCTATGCATCTTGACTGGAGTGGAACCTGTTTCGAAGATCTTGCGGAGCTTCAGGTTTGCGTTCTGCTGATGCTAAACCACGCTGTTCAGCGTGCACAAGCTCTTTGCACAAGCTCCTTTCTTCAGTCTTGGCCACGAGTTGCTTCTGTCGCAGGCTTTGGCTCAGGCGGGTGAAACCAGTGGTCGCAGTTTTTAGGTTGTAATTCTTGACACTTTTGACCCGCAATGCTGGAGCTGGACGGTACTCCGCAGGCTGGCTAGTTGCGTAGTTCGAATTTCGATTGCTTGTGTCTTCATGACAGTCTTCTCCGCAACAACTGGCAGAATATTTCGGTCAATCCCTTCACTGGAAGTTTGTAGACAACGCCGCAGACCACAGACGCCCCGTCAAAGAGCGCCGAGTCATGTGGCCAGGAAGCTCCTTAGTTGAAACCCGAAGGCAAAAGGTTCCTCAGCGGATCGAGAAGGCACATGCCAGCAGCAAGCACGAGAAGACACTAAGCCTTCACGAAGCGCCAAAAGAAAAGGCGCGGAGCGGCCAAAGACACAGACTGAGAGGACCCTGACGAGACAAAGTCCCAGCAACCACCACCCCTCACCGGCGCGGAGCGCCGAAAAGACATCAACCCCTCAGAGGCGCGGAGTGTGGAAAACCCAGAGCAAACAGCCCCGAAACTCAAGCCATCAACGGCCATAGCGATGATCCAAGTCACGCGAGCGAACAGCCGCGACAGCATCCAGTATCCAAGCATCGTACTTCCCATTGCCAGTGGGCCAAACAAGAACCCTTTGTGCCGAAGACTTGGGCAATATGCCCGGCGGCCTACCGTTACTACCACAAGCCCACCAGGTATGCAGCCTCGAGCCGACGTCAAGCCGACAAAAAGGGCAAAGGGAGAGCCCCGGATCCTTACGCATATCAGCATACCTAGCCCAGGAAACAAGCCCCGCAAAGTCAATCCCTTTACTGCCACCGGACCGCCTACGGATGCATGCAAGCATCATAAAACGCTATGCAGTCGGGAGTTGCCACAAAGTTCAAAGCACTACGAAGTGGTTCTAGGATATACCAGGACTCAGCAGACAGAATGTTTGCATCTCCAAATGCTGAAGCAAAAAACCCATTGCCTCCGTTCCTCCGTTGTGAGGTTCTTTCTGTCCCCGACAAGATTAAACGTAACTAGTATGTTTGCGGCTTCCGATTGAAGATGCTTGGTACGTGAGCTGCACCTAGTCCACTGATTCAAGCCACTGCCTGAAACAGCCTAGCCTGGAAGCCCTGGCATAGCTTTCTGAGAAGTTCGCAGGAGACAGTAAATGCAGTCTCCATCGCCCTTGCGATCGGTCTCGTGGGAGTGCCAATGGCCTCGGAAGCTGCCGCGACGATGCTCGGCTGGTCTTTGCTGTTCCCCTTTCTTTGGTTGTCTTTTTGGTGCGAAGGCTTGTAGTTGCTGATGGGGCTGTTGGTCCAGCAACGCGTTCGCGTGTACGAAATGTGCTTGAGATTTCAGATTACATAGATCAGATTGGGCTTATGTTTCGGTTGCATGCGCAGGTCCGAACATCTGGTCGGGTCATTGCGGATAGGCAGCATCGGCAAAGGCATCAAAGGCCCATCATCAGGGATGGTATGCTCTGACCACTGACCACGTGACCTTCTGAGCCCAGGTTGTGGCGCCGACTTCGGCGGCGCAAAACTGATGATCTCCAGGCTCACGCATCCGAGAAACCCTTGAAATGTTGGATCTTCAGCAGGCGTGACCTGTGTGTGGTTTGGGCACATTGATAAGGTTGGAAGATTGGGGGATGGACCGGCGATGTTGCGTAAGCCTAAAGCCTTCCGCCGAATTCGTGGCAGTGTACAGTGCCAATCATGGTGACGTGAAAGCATGTGAAAGCCAATTCCTGCCTCACACATATAGATCGAAGATCCGCCTACGAGTGTGCTCGTATGCATCGGCAATACGCCTTCCCGAATCTCTCTCGTTTGTTGTCTACAACGTTCATCACAAGCTGGACATGACCAAACCTTGGCTGCCAGTACATGTGCATGCACATCACCCGCTGAGCAAAATATGTCTCGGAAAGCAGACTGAAGCGCCAACCGGCTGCTGAAGACTTTTCATTTGGGCCGTGCTCTGCGGCTGAACCTTGCAGAGACACCTCGAACCCGCAATTGCGCGGGACAAATCCCCTGCTACGACAAGACCACGCTGTCTAGGTATAATCGACTGTTAGAGTCGAGCAGAGTCGAGCTTAAAGGACGGTGAGTGCCGCGAACATTGCGAATGTCAGGAGATGACTGCCGCCGACAGTCGCATTGCTGCAAGATGAACTCCACTGACTGCCCCGTGGTTCTCCTAATCGGCCCTGAGTCACAGTTGTATTTTCCTTCTGAAAAAGCTGTGGTTCTTGGCATGCGGCGGGAACGCGGTTCTCCAATGCTCCAAATGTCCCCACGGCCCACCTGCCTCAAGCCATCTCAAGCTCCCTCAGTTGCCTCGAGCCGAGCCGAGGCATTCCCAACCCTAATCCCTTGTGGCCCTTCTGGAAATCGGATGTTTGGGGTTGAAGCCTGGAAGTGCGAAAGCATGCAAGCTTTTGGTTTGTCACACGGCTGGAAGCAAAGCGATTCCTCTCCCAGGTCGACCGGCAGCATGGGTGGTGTCCTTGCTCATCTGCAGACGCTCGCTCTAAGCTTCGCAGGTTACCGCTGAATGTGAGGGGTTTCAAAGATAAGCCTAGGATAAGCAATAACATTGCAGGATCGTTCAGATTGTGTAGTGCTTTGTACGGTAGGGAGTAAGGTCACTAAGATACGGTTTGCAAGGGACATGCACATGAAGGATACTGCTATGTGGAGTGCGTGCACCAAGCTAAGGCTACTTGTTGCTGATCCCGGCACTGTGCATGACTCTTTTTAACATGGTGATTGGAGCTGTGGATGCACTTGTCACAGCCTCAGAGGTTGCAGAGGTGACATGGGCAGAGGAAAGGTGGCGATGGTTGCCGCGATCATTAGGGAATCGTTTCCGAGGTATTGGAATCTGGCTCTGAGAGCACATTTGGTCTCATCCGCTTACTTGGCGAGACTGGCTCTTGGACAGGAGCTGCGCCTGGGAACAACAATGGAACAACAGTGCACTCAAAACAGAGCATTTGCTGCGGAGTTGCCTGCATCATCGAGGGCATGCAGACACGTAGAGGTACTCAAAGGATGTTCCCATGCTTGCTTTCGTTGCTGTCATCTCTGCTCGCTGCTCAGGTGCTTGTCACCGTCTTCGCCATAGTAATTCCGCTGCTGAAGCTGTACCTCCTGCTTCATGCAGAAGTCATCCGGCGGAGCAAGGATGCTTGGCTTCCCTATCACGCAACGGAAAGTGCAGCAGGAATGTGAAAGTTTCCAAAGACACTTGTCACTTGCAGGTCGCAAGTTGTGAACTCTGCAAGCGAACCTGCCCTGAAATCGAAGTCAGGACGTGCGCCAGGTGAAAAGGGCCCGACGTTACATTGCATTCGTCGCTCGGCATGCAGTGCCCCCATGTGCCCTTAGCAACATCATTAATGCGAACATGAACTGTCGCATGATTCTCCACCCTCCCGCACCTCCCACATGTTCAAAAGACTTCGAGGGCATGGCATGTAGCTGAGTGGGATAGAACCGGCTGAGTGCAGACGAACACATTGTGCGCAGTTTGCAGTCTGCTGGATTGTGTGTGTGTGTGTGTGTGTGTGTGTGTGTGTGTGTGTGTGTGTGTGTGTGTGTGTGTGTGTGTGTGTGTTTGTGTGCCCTTGGCCCCTGGCTTTGAGATGTGAGGTCCAAGTGATCTCCAAATGGGCATGTCCAGACATGATAGCCTATATTTTCCTTCTGTACTTGGTGCGGCACTTGAACCGACCGCCCATCAACGGTCTCTTCAACCTGGACATTGGGTTTGCCTGCTATACGCTATTCTGCTGGGGGTCGACCATCTCCTCGCAGCTTGGACACCTGAAAGCCTCGTGTTGTTTTTTTTGTTTGCTTTGCTGAAGTCGATATTGGGATGTGTTGGAGCTCCTGCTCGGCGTGTCTGGCTTGGCGTACTCAGGTTGGGGATTCATCCACCCAGACTGCCGGATGAGTCCTGCAAAATGGATATGCGCTCGCCTGGTGACCCTGTCACTATCAAGGCCTTTGGCAAGAAAGGCGGGAGGTTCCTGTAAAAAGGTTGCGATGTACCGGGATGTGGGGCCCGTGTCAAATTTGGGCCACAGTGTTCGAGCAGTTCTTCTATTGCCAGCCGAGCAGACACCTCAGACGGGGACGCGGGGGCTCGTCCCTAGAAAGGGCAGAGCAGAGACACAGCTTGTTCTCAAAGAGTGCTTTTGCAAGGCAGAGACCACAAAACTTTTCATTGGAAGAGCTTCCGGAAGCCTTTGTCGGGATCTTGCAGGATCGAGAGATCCAAAGGAAAAATGGAATTTGGCTGGGGCTCGTCGGGTGGTCTGGCCTCGGGGCAACATCGGGCAACATCGGGCAACATCGGGCAACATATGGCAACATCGTTTCTTCTGGGCTTGGTCAGGCTTGCAACCTCCTGCCCATATTGATCCATACTGTTCCTTATGAGGCGCCGCAGCTTTTATGCTTCTGCTTCTCATGATCTTTTCGATCCTCTTCGTGCTTGGAATGCGATGGTCAATTCCTCAGCATTCGAATGCGCTTCCGAAAATGCAGACACGTCGGCCAGTGTTACCAGCTTTGTGATGGTGGGGACTTAAGTTCAGTTCAGACTGCAGGCCTGTCCTGGGGCTTCGCCTGGACCCACAGATCTTGAAGCAGAACGGACTCCCCGCATGGCAGATCCGCTCCTCGGCGCGATGCATGACACTGCAAGCCCGGCTTTCCGAAGGCTCTCCTGGGCCGTTGCATCCCCGCAACTGTTGCCACAAGACGTGTTGTGCTGATTCCGTGATATTCTGTGATATTCTGCGCCTCTGCCCAAGGAATCATGGAGGAGATGCA